GGAGATCAGACTGAAAGTTTACAGCTACAGCAAAGCCTCAAGTGCCATTATGAGGTCACTCGATTTTGCATTACTCCTTTACCTTATGATCAATCTAGCCATCCATGGGAACGTGTTAAAAAGTAAAGGAAAAATGCACAGAAATACAACTATGGATCTTGCAGCTCTCCAAAAGTAAGTTTAATCTATGCCCCAACAGACTGCTTTTTTTTTTAAACAGGGCCTCACTGTGATTTCAGGCGGGCCTTGAACTCCCAGCAATCCTCCTACCTCAGCCTCCAGAGTATTAGGATTACACGCGTGCACAACCATGTATAGCCCAGACTGCTAATTTTGATGATCAGATTCAAAACTGGGATACATTTTCTGATGTGCTCCATCAACTTAATCCCTTTCATTATCTCAAGGCTCACTTCTGGTTTTATATTATGGTGCTAAGAGTAATAGAATTATGTCTCCTTACTCTCTTCTTAGTCTGGCACACAGAAGCTCAAGCCAAACAACATCTAAAGACACTGCAGCCAGCCACAGGTCACGATGATTCAACTCCTACAAGCAAATAAGCACAAAGGGGGACCTGTTGAAGGCCATTATATGTAATCTTGGGGGTAAAATAATTTCATAATTAAACTGTGATTAGGGCTTGTTGAGGCCTAGTATTCAGGCCGGCTATGTTATGCGGAAACATAACTCCGTGTGCCTCTGATCACAGTTTAGGCCTCACGGGTCCCTTGCCAGGGCAAGATTACATCAGCTGAAGACATCCCGGTTCCTTGAGAACAAGTAATCATTAAAAGAGGGTTTCACCTTGGGGAAAGGGCAGACTTCATTTACCTGCCATCCCTCCCCACCATCCTGGTCAACATAAAGATCCTCATGAGCATAAGACCATGGCTTCCTCTGAGTCCTCAACGATCCCCTCACCATTTTCCGCAATGTAAACGTGGTCAACAAATACCAAGGTATTGGTTGCCTCGTGGCCTTTTGCTCCTATAACTGGCCATCCCAGATCCCCATGCACTGCCAGATCCCCATGCACTGCCATTTCATCTCTTGGTCTTTCTTTTCACCGTGCATCATAATGCCTTGCAGGAAATTAGGGACTCACTGCAGGGGTCCCTGATAGACCTTCAACTTTCCATCCTCCTATCTAGCCTCCTGACTGGCTGAGATTCTGTGGCTGAGATTAGAGGCATGCGCTACCACACCCAGCAAACAGAACCCATTTTGAAGTTAACTCATACTCAGTCAGGTTAATTACTGAACTCTGAAGTTTCCTATCAAAGCTAATGACTCTCAACTACTTGCCATTAAGAATAGATGGGGGGCTGGGGATTTTGCTCAGCGGCACAGCGCCTACCTCGCAAGCAGAAGGTCGTGAGTTAGGTTCCCAGTACTGAAAAAAACAAAAACAAAAACAAAAACAAAAAAATAGATGGGTCGGCTGGGCGTGGTGGCACACGCCTGTAATCCCAGCACTTGGGAGGCTGAGGCAGGAGGATCCTGGCAAACTCAAGACCAGCCTGGGCTACAGAGGGAGCTCAAGGCCAGCCTGAACTGCATAGCAAGACCCTATCTCAAAAAGAAAAAAAAAAAAAAAAAAAAATAGATGGGTCACTCACTGTTGGTTTTTGTTTTTGGTAGTACTGGGAATTGAACCTAGGGCCTTATGCTTTTTAGATAAGCATTTTACCACTAAGTGATATCCATAGCCTGGGCCATTCATTTCTAATCACTCCACTGATACCATGCAAATTCCTTCCTCTGGCCTCTCCCTTGTCTTTGTTTCCAGACCACACTTGAAAGATGTAGACTGAAGACTGCAGGGTTGGAGCAAGGGAACATTCCTGCTCTACTTCCCTGCGGACTAACATTATTCTTGGTCTAGTCAAGGGTCCCACATTAGGACCAGTAGAAACTATCTCCAAGCCAGTTCCCTCTACAGGCACGTCTCAGGAAAATCCCACAGTAAATGACTAAGCGTTCTTAGGGGTTGAGATTGTTATTGGTGGTTGTGGTTCAGGGCTCCAGCATCCTACTTTTTCCTTCCATCCATCTCCTACTTTCTGGTAGTAAATAATTTCAGGGAAGCCAGCTATGATGGTACACACCCTGTAATCCCAGTAGTCTGGAAGGCTGAGGCAGGAGGATCACAAGGAACTTAGCAAGGCCCTGTCTCAAAATAAAACATGAAAAGGGGATTTGGATGTAGCTAGCTAATGATTCAATCCCCAGTTCCAAACAAAAGGGTTGGGGGGAACCTAAAGGATTCAAATCCTATCTGGTCACTACAACAATGATTTTGAGTCACAGTCACTTAGGTTTCTTTCATAAAATGGGCTAACCTTTCCGAGATTGTTATGATTCATGCAAATACAGTGACTCTCGGTCTTCGTGAGCCTCAAAGGAAGTTTATGAGCTGTTCAACCTAGACGTGTCTCTGTTTCTCCACCTTTAAAACTTCTGGCAGGGCTAGGCTACAGGGTTTCTGAAGTTCCATCGGAGATTAAGAGCCGACGTTGTTTAATATTTACCTCACCTGCTTCAAGAGAATGTTAGGAGGATAAAGCAAACTCAAGCTCAGAGTTGTAGAAGGGCTTTGAAGAGGAAGATGCCCGTACAAACAAGGCATTAATTATGTCAGATCATGTCTTTGAGCTCAACTTCATAGGCATCGTAATATTCATAACCCAGGGGCAAACAACAAGGCCGACTGTTCTGTGTCGTATGGAATCTGCTGTTGGGGTTGGCCAAATGTGAGAGTTCGCATGTGCCCACAGGATAACCCTTCCAACCTGGCTGGAACCAGGCTGCGGTGGGGGCAAGTTTCAAAAATGGGAAGCCGAAGTGGGAGGTAGAAATGTATCAGCAGATGAAGACCAAGAAGGAGAATACCCATTTGTTTTGTTTAGGTGTTTCAGTGTATTTATTTTGAACTTTTAAGTATATTTTTAAAAAGGGTCCCATTATCTGCTCAATAATGGCTTGGGTTTAAGCAATCCTTCTGCATTAGCCTCTGGCCTGTAGCTGGGACTACAGGCACCAACCACCACACTTGGTGGCTTGGGAACCCTGCATTTACTGGCACCAACAGGGTCCAGAAACTTGCTTCTACTTAAAAACAAGTGGTAGACTTTTCACCAAAGCTTGTTCTAAGACCCAGTCACGTTTTCAGGGAGACTCAGGGTGAGCCAGCAGATTAACCCATACTTTGTTTTATAACCCAGGTGTGTCCTTGGCACAAGCTGCTGTTTTCACAACCATGAACCAGACATCCGAGAAAGCTGAATTTCCTCAAAAGGCTTAAAACGCCTGACGTCACCGGGAAGCACTCACCAACTCAACCATGAAATCGAAAACCCGATCACTGCTTCCCCTCAACAACCTCGAGCCCAGCCAAGTAACAGCTAATCTGGCGTTTTCTACTTCAGTAAGAAAGATAAGGCAGTAACAACGCTCAAAACCACAGTCCACTCTCAGACTCCAACAGAGAATTTGAGAAGCGGGAAGTAGGGGTATAGTTTTGCCAGAGTCTGGTTAGCAATAAAGCTTCCTCGGGGAGCCGGAATTGGATTTGGGGCCCAGCCTGAGTTAACATTTTTACAGATTGGCTCCGTTGCAGTTTGTTAGCCAGCCAGTAATAAACCCATGTGCAAGAATTTAAAGTTTATGAGGCATGGCCTCTTAATGCCTCTGCTCGGCTCCCTACAGCCATGGTTTTAAGGAGCCTGGCTTTGCCTGGGTGTTAATTGTTTTGTCAATCTGCAGAGTTATTTGGGAAAAGAATTTTAAAAATAAAAAAAGGGCTTTCAGACTTGTGGCCCTCAATCCTCTTTTGGAGAAACAAAGAAGTGCTATTCTGTCCCTTAGGTATCGAAACCCCACGTTCAAGCTGTGGGCACTTGGACCAAGCCTAGGATAAGCAGCGTGCTGATGGAGCACTACAAAAATGCTAGGTGGCAACGGTCCTTAATGTTTTAAAAGGCAGGTAAACCACAGATCTCCTCCCCAGCAAAATGCATACAGAAGTTTTCTGAACTCCACCCAAGGATCCCGGATTACACCCCTTTAAGAACTTGAGTTTGATGCCTTGTAAGAACTGCCCTTGTCCTCTCCACTCGGAAAGAAAGAGACCTCCCCCGGCCACAGCTGCCTGGGTCTCATGACACACTGGTTCTCTGCACCAGAATGACGCCCCACTCTCAAGTTTTTGAACTTGAGGGAGTTAAGTGAGTAACTGAAAGATCAAAAATGTGCTTTGATCTCTCTCATTCATCCTCCCCATAGCCCAAGGCTTGATGGCTTGGGACACCAGCCGCCACCCGAGTTCACTAACGTCCCATTCTCAAGGCGCTGAAGGACAAGGGTGTCCCCCCTTGCGAGATGGCCCCAGCGCAGGTGTGCCAGGCTATTTGCAGGCAGCAGGGGCGCAGGCCCTCCGGGAAGGGCAGGGTTAAGAGAGCATTCCAGCCGCCCGGGAAGAAGGGGGGCGGGCAGGGGGCGGAGAGGGGGGCGCGGAGAAGAGAAACAGACCCGGTCTGTCAGTCGGAGACACAAAGCACGGTTCACAAAGGGGCCCGACAGAGGCGAAGGGGGCTGCCCGGGGCACCGCTCATCCCCACACCTGCGCGGGGGTTGGGGGAGGAATGTGCACGGCGCATTCCTCCGCTGGGGCCAACCGGAGGCAGCTTTCCGCGTCGGGGCAGGGTGAGGGGCCCCAGCCGCCCGACCGCGAGGGGTCAAGGCAAGCAGGGGCTGCGGGGCAAGGAAGGGCCGGACTTCAGAGGGCGCTACGCTGTCCAGGCTTCTCGGTCAGCCTCTCACCGCCACCACAGCCCCTGAGATGTGCTTTCCGCGCCTTCCCGGGATCTGAGACGGTGCCCAAAGTCCCCTGCACAAGCCTGGCCACCGCTCGCGCGGGCTACAACGTAGCGGACCGCGTGCGGACCCCCGCACAGCGGATCCACCCGGGCCGGCTCGGGAGAGGGGGGTGGTCTTACCTTGCTCCAGCGCCGAGCCCGGCTGCACCTCTCCAGCTCCCGTCTCCAAGGTCACTCCAGCCTCCCCGAAGCCCGCCCGGCAAGGCTGAGAGGCTGCGCATAGCAGCCAGCAAACCTGTGCCTGAGGCCCGAGGGGGGAAGAGGGAGGCCGGTTACTGACTTGCGTGGCCCTACAGACCCCATCCTGGGGAGTCCTTACCGAGCCTCCGGGAACACACTGACCGCAAGGATTGGAGCCCCGCGCTGTCCCCGACGCTACCGCCACGCGCGGACCCCACCCGCCCTCCAGGGAGCAGATCGGCTAGGCGAGGGCTGGGCAGAGGAGTACCTGGGGGAGGAAGAGGAAGAAGGACGCGAGAGGTCCACTGAGGAAACCCATGGCTGGAGAGCGCGAGGTGCAAAAGCTGCCGCGGGCGCAGAACCGTGCACAGCTAAGCTCTCGCGCCCCTTTGAGCACCGCGACTTGCAGGAGCCCGAAGGAGGAGGCCAGGTGAGCCCAGGCAGGTGCTGATTGGCTCGGCGTCACTAGGCCCGCCCCTCGCAGGTGGGGCCGCGGCGGGCGTGCAGAAGCCGCCGTGTTCTCCCGGGTTCCCGCAGAGTCAGAGCTGCTCCGGGCAGAGACTCATCCCATCTCGCAGGTTCTAGGTTGCAAGGGGAAAGAAACCCATTCCACTCCTCAGCCTCCTCACCACAGAAGGACAAACGTTTCCTTGCCTAGCGGCTACGGGAGAAGGGGGAGAAAAAACAAATCTGAACCCAGCTGAAAACAGAGGCTGCCGGTTCGTGCTCCTGGAGGCGTTCTGCGGTTCAGAGATTGGTGGAGGCCGGGCGTGACCTCCACACCCGGCTACAGCGCAGGCTGCCCTCGGCCTCTTTCTCCACTTCCCATGCCCGCCTGCCAGGAGGACCCGGAATTTCACACTGGACGTGGGTCCCCGAGGACCTCGTTACAGATCTGATACAACTTGGAGAATCGCTCAGCACGTTTCCGAGCTGAACAAATGGAGGCTAGGGAAGAAGGCAGCGGAGTTGGGAAGCCGCAGTAGTGCCCAGGGTTTGAGACAGGGGATTAGTTATGAGATGGTTATTAGTTATGCGCCCCATAATCTCCAGCGCCCCCCGCCCCCGAAGTAACGCTTTCTCAACTTTATGTAAAGTGTAAGTAATGGCAGTTCTTCAAAACCAGTTTTTATTGGTTGGAAATAACTATATAAGCGCGATTGTGCTTTTGATGGCAGCTCTCCCACACCCTTCCCTGAAGATAAAACTACGGAGATGAAATGGTTCCCTAGTTACTCTTTGCACTCCCTTGGACTTCGCTTTCCTCTTCCAGGCGCACAAATAGGCCCTGGGCTCAGTCGCTCCATCCCGAATTCCCTTCCCCCACCACGCTGAGCTTTGCGGACAGTCCCAGGCCCTGGTTCCCTGGGCCCAACTTGCCTTCCCTGGCTGCCTTAAGAACCCCAGGATGTTCCTTCTTCCTCTCCCCTCTCCTCTCCCCAGCTCACATTTAAGGGTTTGAAGGGGGAGTGAACTGTTTCTCAGTTTTTGTTTGTCTTTGCAGAAGGAGGGATTGAATCCAGGGCCTTCATACTGAGCTACATCCCAACTCCCTTCCTTTTTAAAAAAAGTTTTATTTTGGTATAGGGTCCTGCTAAGTGGCTACGTTGCCCAAGCTGGGCTTGAACTTGCAACCCTCCTGCTTCAACCTTTCAGAGTTGCGCTGTTTAATTATAGACTCTGTGGCCTTCAAGGACTGACCTGGTAACTGACCCCACCTTCCCACCACCAGGCCTGTGGCTAAACAGTGGGTCCTAGTTCCGTGACCAGAGTCTTCTCTTCGCTAGCACCAGCTCTGGGGCCTGCCCCTCCTGCTTTCAAACCTAGGGCCGACCACTTACCTCAGTTCCCCAACTGTCAATGGTGCTGTGAATGACACCTATCCTCCAAAGCACTATACTACGATTAAACGAATTAATACTACTAGGGGAGATTAAACAAATGAACATGTTTTTTAAAAAAACACTACATTCAATACCTGGCACAGTATAAGGGCCCAGTGTTGCCTGGTACTATTGCTCCAAGATCCGGGTCATTTGGCCTTCTCTGCCTGGCCAGTGATTCTCTCCTGTCTAGTGCTCCCGCATCCCTCAAGCATGAGGGTGGAAAGCATCGGAATCCTTCAATTTCACGGCTGAGGGTAAATCCAGCAATCCAGCGGCACAGTGTGGTCCCAGAAGTGGGAGGTGGAAGGTGGACATCAGGCAAAGCCTGAGGCAGATGGAGAGCTCTGCCCCCCCAAGTACTGCTGGGAGTCCCATCCAAGGAGAGGTTGCAGAACTGCACAGGCCCAGGTGGGACAGGGTGGCCGGGTCTATCCTTGCCTCGCAGGATCCCCCAGCCGGCCCGGAGCCAGCCGAGCCATTAGGCGGACAGTTAAACACAAATGAGCCTCGGGATACAGGCCCTAATTAAGTAAACACCCGGCTGGAGGGCTGTGCAGCCGCGCTCATTTCCGTCTCTTTCCCCGGCGCTCAGCGGGTGTGGGGGGGAGAAATGGAGAGTCAGCTCTTCTGCCTGCGACTTGGCCCGCAGCGCTAGCTTCTCCATAGCTCCCCTGGTCAGTCTTTCACTCATTCATTCATTTTAACTGAATGAAGTTCAGATTTGAAGTTCAATTAAGTTTGCTCACAGCCTGCTAGGTACCAAGCACAGGGGACATAATGGTGAACAAAATAGACAAACATCCCGGCACTCTTGAACTGGACTTTCTTGAGTGTGTGTGGGGGGGGAGGGGTAGAACAAAGTAAGCAATTGAGTGCAGTAAATACTGCAATGCCGTAGATGCTTATGCGCGCTGCGTGAAAGAACAAAGACAGGAAAGTACAGGTTCACCAACAGCAGGTAGGGTTGGAAGTCGGTCCAGCAGGAACAAGATCCAGCCTGATGGTTCAAGTCCTCATGGGAAGGACTAGAGAAACGGCAGAGTTCAAGTAACCAACTGGGGTGTTGAGGCACCAAACCCAGTAACACCAGGAAGGCATTGCTACTTCGAGACTGAAGGGCTAAGGGAGGAAATGCCGTCATGGGAGGGGGAGGAGCTTAAGCATGCCCCTCCGTGCAGCTGTAGTTGAGGATTAAACATCCCCAGGAGGTTGCAGGAAAACAGTGCCCTGGGGCTGGGGATTTAACTCAGCGGCACAGCTCCTGCCTGGCAAGCCCAAGGTCCTGAGCTCGATTCCTGGTACCGGAAAAAAACCAAAAAAAAAAAAAAAAAAAAAAAGGAAAACAATATCCAGCATCTCTCTCCTGCCCTTTACCCACAAGCTTGAGGGCAAGAAAGTCGAGGTGACAGATTCTGTGAGGGTCATTCTCCCCAAGCACAGGACATAGAATGTTCTTTTGCGGTGCTGGGGATCACACCCAGAGCCTCATGCATGCCAGGCAAGCGCCCGACACTGAGCTACACTCTCCTCCTACATGGTCCCCCTGGATGAGGATGGGGCAGCACCAAGAAAGCCCAGAGACTCACTAGGGAAAGTGTTTTTGAACAAAGACTCCAAGAAGTGATGGTACAAGTTACAGCTCAGAGTGTGTAGGACAGGTTTCTAGTAGAGAACACATAGCAAATGCCTGGGGCAACAGATTACATGGAACAGGAAAAAAATGCCTATGTGATTGGAGTAGTGAGCGAGTAGGAAATGAGTCAGAGTATGGGAGTCTGGGAAACAAGGCTTGTAGCGCCTCATAGGCCACTGTTAGACCCTGGGCTTGTGCCTGGAGTGGGAGAGGAGGAAGCCACTGTGGGGTTTGAGCGGAGGAGTGGTGCTGAGAGCAGACTTCCGGGAACCAGAGCAGAAGCGGGCAGGTCCGCTGTACTCTGTTGTAATCAGGTAAACAATGGAATGGCTTGGTTTGGGTTGGTCGTTGTGAAGAGGGCAAAAAATGATAGACTGAAAAAAAAAGGGGCTGGGGATTTAGCTCAGCGGCACAGTGCCTGCCTGGCAAGCGCAAGGTCATGAGTTCGATTCCCGGTACTGGAAAAAAAAAAAAAGAAAAGAAAAGAAAAAAAAGTGTGGGTGAGGATGTGGAGAAACTGGAACCCTTGTCGCCAAGAATGTAAAATAGTGCATCAGCTATGTAACACAGTATGGTGGTTCCTAAGAGAGTTTAAAATAGAATTACCACACCCTGTATGCATGCATGGAGTCATCACACTGCACCCTATAAACATGTACAATTACTTTGTGTCAAATAAGATAAATAATACAATGATAGTATTACCATATGATCCAGCAACTCTACTTCTGTGTGTATACCCAAGAGAAGTGAAAGCAGGGACTTGAAGAGCTATTTATACACCCAGGTTCATAGCAGCATTATTTGCCATATGTATATATGGTCTCACTATCTTCAGCAGGCTGGTCTTGAACTCATTATGTAGCTTAAGCACCATGCTGGGCAATAACAGCATTATTTATAGTAGCTGAAATGTAAGACAGATGAATAGACAAGCAAAATGATTAATAGGTACAGTTTCACTTTTGCAAGTTGAAAGCGTTCTGTGGACAGAGGCCTGCAAAGTAGCATGACAATGTGGAGGTCATTAATGCCACCAAACAGTAACAACTAGGGATGCCAGGCATGGAGTACACACTTGTCATCCTGATTATTCAGGAGGCTGCGGTGGGAGGATGGCAGGTTCAAGGCCAGAATGACTCGTTGTCTTGGTTACTTTTCTCTCATTGCTGAGACAAAATACCTGACACCCAAAATTAAGGAAGGAAAGGTTTATTTAGCTCACAGTTTGTGGAGGTTTCAGTCCATACTCAGCTGGCTCCAAGGCAGAGTGGCACGTGCAGAGGGCAACAGTTCATGGCAGTGGAAAACAGCAAAAGCAACAAGAACAAAATGGGAGGTGTGAGAGAGGAACAAGCCTCTTTCCCTCCTTTATATTGTATACAAGCTACCCACCCCACAGCAGGTATAGCTCTCACACCCATAATCCCAGCATTGGACCATGGATCAGTCATAAACTCTAGAAGCCCACCCCCTGACTGCATGAGGCTTTAGGGGGTCATCCAGACACAAACCATAACACCCTGTTTCAAAATAAGATTTTATGAGCAGGCTGGAGATGTAACTTAGTAGTGGAGTGCTTGCCTAGCAGGCACATGGCCGTGGGCTCAATCCCAGTACCAAAGTAAAAATGGTTAGAATGCCGAATTTTATGTGTGTTTTACCACAACGTTTTAAAATAATGCGAGAAAGACAGAGGGAGGGAGAGGGAGAGATTGATTGATTGATTCTGGGCATATTTTGAAAGTATTGCCAATGAACAACCCAAAGGATTACAATGCCATTTCCTGAGATTGGGGAGGCACATGTATTGGGCAATGTCGGGGTCAGGCTCAAATGCCTCTCTATGTGTTTATGCACATGTGTGCTCCTGTGTGCGCATGTGTGCTATTGGGGACTGAACCTTCTCAC